TAATTGCTTCTGCTGGACATTTAGATAAATTAAAAAATTTGCAACAGTTGGCGCGTTAGGTATGACTACAATGGGCCTCGTCATGAGGATGGGTGTGGCTGCATGGGTGTGGCTGCATGGGTGTGGCTGCATGGGCTTGACTGCATGGGCTTGGCTGCATGAGAGTGATGTGCTGATATCCTTGTATTTATATCTTCAGTCTTCTTTGCAGGTGATAAGAAGGATGAGAGTGAGAAGACAGCAACGTCACCAAGTGCAGTGACCAGCCCACTGCCGGTATCCAACCAAGTTCGGCCTGGTCTAAGTGAAGATGAAGAACTCAGTAAGTACTCCTAACAGTGTCCCGGTTTATGACTCATTGTGAGTGTGGTTGGAGTGAAGTTGTAAAACAGTAAATGGTCATGACTCATTGTGAGTCTGGTAGGAGTGAAGTTGTCAAACAGCAAGCCGTCGTGACTCATTGTGAGTCGGATAGGAGTGAAGTTGTAAAACAGTAAGTGGTCATGACTCATTGTTAGTCTGGTAGGAGTGAAGTTGTCAAACAGCAAGCCGTCATGACTCATTGTGAGTCGGATAGGAGTGAAGTTGTCAAACAGCAAGCCGTCATGACTCATTGTGAGTCGGATAGGAGTGAAGTTGTCAAACAGCAAGCCGTCATGACTCATTGTGAGTCGGATAGGAGTGAAGTTGTCAAACATGAAATCATCCACCTTTGATCTGATCACTGCAACACCCTCATTGAGGAAGAGACCACTATGTCTACTTCGTCTTCAATTTGGAAGTAGTGCACTTGTATTCAGCCTTGTTTTTTTGTGTCAGGCTAGCTTCATTAGAGATGTAGGTGTGAAATCTGATTGTCAACTGTATAGTAGATAAATTTTTTTCAGTTGAAACAAACGTGCAAACTCATCTGCCATTAATTTTCTGTCTGTAAGATTTTGGGAAATTGTTAAATGACGGTTGATAGTGTGAGGACAAAGAATAAATGTTGCCAGTGCAAAATCTTTTTGGGCTTTTGGTAATATGTGACCCGCTCTGCAAAAACAGGTAATAAGTCGCATCGCATTTGGCCTGTTCTATTTGGAGAGGGCAAAATTTCTACAAAAACGTGATTTTTGTTTCCTGTAGTAGCTTCTATAATATTTATATTTTTATGAATTTGTGACTACAATCATGGATGAAAAATTGATCAGTCAGTAAGAAATCCTATAAACATGTAGCATTGTGTTTCCATTACATTTTGTTGTCTTATACTCAAAAAGTGCTTTTATTGAATCTGAAAATGTGGACATACAAATGTCTACATTATGTATATATCTCCGGAATGCAGCGCACTACAGGGGTCATTTATATATCAAATTGTTTGATTTTGATGTACAGAATCTAGCCAGATCAAAAACTAATAACCTGAATCTGGCGACTTGTTACCCATTTTTCTAGAGCTGGTCACATAAGGCACCAAATCATTTTCTAGGTCCTCAGAGTTCGCCTCTATTTGGTTCCTTCATTGCCCAAATCAACTGTTCTTCTGAATATTTACAGCGCAATTAAAGAAAGATGTCAATGTGGACAATCTGGTGAAGCAGTTTGAGGTCAAGGCAGACGAACCATTGGTTAGTTCCCACACATCACTGCAGGCTGATAGTGGAATCTCAGAAAGCTACGATCGGTTACAGGATGTTGCCGAGGGCGACACTACAGCAACCAAACGCTCCTTCCTTGCCAGATCGGCGAGCCTCAAAACAAAGGTAGCGCATTGTTTTGGAAAGAAAAAGAAAAGATTTTCAGTTAGGTTAAGCCACATTGCAGGTTGTGTTGATGACCCTGTGTAATGGCTCTACAAGGGTACAGTAGTTTGTTTATAGATGTTTGAGTCACGTGGCAAGAGTGGTTATTATGTCAAAGGGCACTCTAAAGAGTTGGCTGGACATTCGCAGTTCTGTGTTGTAAATGCAAGAGGTCTGTTCAAATTTCAGTGTGTAGTTCTGTTATTTGCGGGGCAAACTCTTCGAGAAAATGAGTCAAGGGTCTCCCGAGCCACTTTTTTAGTTTAGAATCTTGCACAAATGGGAGCCTTTTCCACACATGTAATGTCTATTTTTATCAGATTGCCAAAGTGATAGGTACATTTATGTCAAAGGAAAGAGGGCAGTGTGCTCTTTTTAATGTCAGAGGAACATAATGGACAAAATAACCCGAAGACATAATAGTGCGAAGGATCCTTGAGGATTTGCACCCATTCTTGAGTAAGGTACATGTAAAATTTAGATAGAGATACTGAGGACAAGAGGCAGGACATTGACGTGTGGGTGAGTTTGGCTGATATGGTGATATATTTGGATTTTTTAGGGTGAGGAGGAGAGAAAGCGGCGTCCGCCAGGTGACCGCAGATCAAGAAGGTAAAACATAAGTGTTGCTTTACAAACTCTGTATTAAAATAGGCTAGATAGGAAGTGGCATTGTGCGTTTGGGATCTTCTGTTGTCTTCAGTTTGATGTGAAGTCACTTGTTCGTCTCTATCCGCCCTGAGATGAAGGGCGCCCTCACCAGCAAAAGAAAGACAGATGGTACTAAAGTTTCCAACTGGGTACTTGCGCCTGTTCGGCGTATACGTGAAGACCACACATTTCAGACTAAAATCGTGGCACGTACTAAGCCTGCTCTGCGTCAAATGCGTATATGTGGTGCGTTAGAGCCAAGGACTGTCAATTTCATTTCAAAAGACGCCCTCTTTTGTTCCTGCTCGGAGCAGATAGTTTGGGAACAGGATGATTCTGAGGTGGAATTTATGGATTCATATCACGATATGTTGTTGACCACCTTACATGATATGTTGTAGTTGTCTGTGTTGATACGTGTAGATTAATTGATTGGGCACGTGGAAAGTCGTTTTATTTTCTGGGTTTACTATCGAGTGTATTGTTAAGTTGTAAACTCATATTGTTTTGTTGTGGTAGCTCAGTTAATTTATGCATGACTTTTCTGTTTTCTTATTTTGTGACCTGAGTTTGCTTGTTTCATCGTAAGTGTTTGTTATTTTGTCGAGTTAGCCTAGACTAGCCATGGTAGCCTGCACAGCAACATTGGTCATAGTACACATTAGTATTTTAGGACAATAGTTTTTCACTTTTAGTGCAGAACATTTGGAATGCACAAGTTCTTTTCTCTTTTCCATTGTACCTGTCATTGTCTTGGTTGAATTATTCATCAGTAATACCTTGAAAAAGCTTTCGTAGCCTTCGCTGGACCTACCGGTATCTGTGTGACAAATACAGTTGACTCTCGTTATTACGAAATCGGCTATAACTAAATTCCTGTCATAACAAACACAAGTCTGTGGTCCTGGCGAAAACGTGCACATCTCTACTGGGAAAAAATCTGTTACAGCGAAATGGCATTGTACGAAATTCCTGTTACAACGAATGGTTTTCCTGACTCGGTTGCCTGAAAAACCATTGTTGACAACCCGTTTATAATGAACGTTTGCAAATCGCTGTGGCGAAAACACATGCGCGGTGCATCACACTGGTTCCTGCCAGGCCAAACCGTTGCCAATGAAAGCATGAGGGAAATGCAGCAACCAGTCAATGTACAGTTGCTGCCAAAAAGGGTTGCGAGCATTCCACTATATGTACATCGCATACGAATGCAGCTCTACAGTTGCAAGTCGGAAAAATACTGCCGTCACAAATTTTTCTGTAGGTTCTTCACAAAAATTGATCTCATGTCTATTTGTGTTTTCTGTGTTCTTGTATTTCATTTGAAGATGTACTGCTCGCACTCGAAACGAGCGTGTCTCCACCAAATTTCGAACTGCAGCAGGAGGCTAATCGCCCGCCCCTCCAGATGCGTCACGAACGCTTACAACATGATACACAGTTTGTCAGTTTCCTATTGTCATGACAAGTGTAAAGCATGATTAAAAAATCTATTATTTTTTACATTGATTACACAAACATCAAAACAAATATTCCTTTCCCAATTCCCAAAAAAATACAGCTAAATTACTTCGCCTGACTACTCTCACATCTCATGAACCCAACTAATCGCCCAACACTGAATTATTCATATTGCTACAAAAAGATCTAGCATACCGGCCAATGAGACTGTGTGTTTTCATGACGTACATTTTGAGAGACACAGCTATCCAATTGCAATATTCCTTCATGACATAATGCTCCTTCCGTGACCATCTCGCACGTGGGCGGCCGTGCCACAGTGGGCGAATGAACTATCGATCAATCGTGTCATGCAACTAGTGTCGAAAATCATAAGACAGACAGAAAATGTAATAAAAATGCCTCTCCATGACACAATTTGTGTTGGAAAGACTACTCACATGGATGAAGGCTCCTGTTGATGAGTGTTCATGTTCTTGCAGGTCACACAGGCCTACCGTTTAGCTTCATCGTCATCCATGGCTTTTAAAAGCCTTTTAAAAATCCCTTGATCGATGCTTTCACATGTACCCTTATTTGCTGTTTGTAATCTCACATGCACACTAAACGTGTTTTCATATGACAGTGAATTTTATTATTCTAAACACATCACAATATACTTGATTAATTATAACCGAGAGATCTTTTTGATATAACATCAACCACGCGTTCACGTGTATGCACATACATGTACACCCATACTTGTACATGTATAAACGTGCATATGCATGTACATGGTATTGTACAACAATGTACCGAAGCCATTGCACTGCGTTCCACCTTGACGAATTTTGGATTCAATGAACATTTCTATGTGGTCCTGCGGATTTCGTAATAACAAGAGTCGACTGTACCAATTTTACGGGATGATAAAAACTTGAAAAATGCCCTTCCATCAAAAAATCAATAACGATAAGGAACAGTTTGCACTGAGACATCTGAATAACCTTTCCAAACTTTTCTCAAGATTATTGTAAAATTGCTTGCTGCATAGCCTTGGTGTTGCATGGGTTCAGATTATTCAACTCAATTTGCACCCATTTAATCAATGAGATAGCCATGACCTTTGACCTGACAGTTTTAACCAGGACAATGATACTTGCACTTGCTGCTTCCTGGTAGCCTGCACCTGAATACCAGTTTTCTTAGGTGATTATACATTACTATGTGCAGAAGAGTAATATGAGCATGTAATGTAGCCATCAAAAAAGAACAGTAATTAAGTTTACGTCTTTCCCTGATCTGGAATCGTGTCATTCCTTCCCATCATTCCATTGCTCCGTGCTGCCAGAGTTCAGTAGCAAGATTACTTTTGTTCTAAAACTTGGATTTATTTGTATGTAAGGAACAGTTAGCCATGCATTAAGATGATTTGGGAAACGTGAAACAGAAAGCTATAAACAAGAAAGGCTGACATAAAAATCTGTGAATTCCTGTAAACTTACCAGCAAACATGTTAAAGTAGCAACCTCCAATGAAGCAAAATTTTAGTTGAAATTTTACGTGGGAAAATAAAGTTGGACAAAACTTATTCCTTAAAAAGAACACTTTCTTCATTGCATGAAAAAACAGTTAGACTCTACTGCATGATAAAATGGGTTTATGATTCAATTCATTCAGAATTCTCTCAAAAACAATCTCACTTGGAAAGTCTGAAAAGCATGCCAGCATTCTTCATTACCAATGTTCTCAAATGTTCTGATTAGCTTTGACGGTGTTTTGTTCATATACAGAGATCATGTGATGTTTGTGGCATACTCTGTGAATACCAGGATTGTAGTGAATTTTTGTTTTCATTGAAAGACAAGCAACCTCCATTAAACCACACAGAAGTCCTGCATGCAATAAGTCTGACCTGAATTGATAATCACATAGAGGACTGGTATTCATCCAGATTGCTTGCCAGAGGCTGCATTTTGATACCTTTTCTTTTCCGTTTCCTCTGTTCTCTTTTTGTTTTTTTTAAAATTTATTTTCTTCATGTTAACGCCCTGTGTAGCTCCAATGAACGAACCCCATCACAATCGATTGAGTAAGTTGATACACCTCATTTCACTAACACCCAAATGGGTCAAAGGTGACAAACTGGTATCACTAACCCAGCTGGTTCACAGTAGTTCATAGTATGGAAACAAGTCATTGTAGGAATACTGACCTTCATATCTTGTGCCCTCTGTTGTTCATGCATTTATGTTGTATTTTCATTGCTATGGTTTGTATAATTTCCATTTTCATCTTTGTCCTTCCTTTTCAAAAACCCTTGCATCACATCACATACAGTAGATTTACATCACTCAGAGCTCAAATCATTCTCATTTTTCTTAGATAAAAAAAGTCATGTACGTGCCTTCTTGTCATTGTTGGCAACATGCTCGTAGTATTTCCTTCGATGTATATTCTCTGTTCTTGTTCATCGAAACATTGCTAATTTATTTGACACTGTCCGGAAGAAATACTAAGAAGATACTTCTGAAACAAGCGTGTCCATTGCAGCGTGTATAGGCTCCGTGCGTAAGCTAACGAGGGCGCTGTATTGCTTAACTAGCACCATGTGACGGCAAATGGTATATGCTTTCTATGACTAATTGAATGTGTACAGTTGAATGCATTCAAATGCCACTGAGCAGTTCACGTTATGCCAAATGCATTTAGTAGCATTTTCCCCACTAGATGGTATTTAGTTTTTCGGTAACATCTTGCCTTCACTACTCTGTCATGTCTGTAGACTAGAAAGCATTTGTCACACCTATTCACACATCTTGATCATGTACAGGTGTATGTTCCGTTCATCAACTTGTGGTTGAACTATGAAGGTTTCAATACCTGCATGATAGTACTAAACTGAAAAATGGCTTGTCCAACTAAAATCAAATGTTACCGCAATACACCCCTATCCTATCCCATCGTACTTGGCAAAACAAATGTTTGATTATTGATGGTATCCAATTGTCCTCCACACTTGCCCACTTATTACTGACTTCAATTAAGGTGTTGAGCAGAGTCAAATTCGCTCTTGTCTTCAGAGAGGTTTTTTGCATACAAATGTTTTTCTTTTGGTTGTTTTGATGTGACTAGTGACGTGGATGTGGATGGTCATAGTGTCGTGACTGCACTCAACAGCACCTCACAAGCCAGCTCGTCGTCCAGTTTATCCACAAGGTATATGCACATGTACGTTTCTACTTTGACTCTACATTCCAGATCTGCCCAACTGTAACCTTGGAGCCCCAGTTAAGAACTTGCTGGCTGAGTGCAAATCATTTCAGAATTAGTCAGAAGCAAAAGGCCTGATATTTTGTCTGGTAACCTGACTCTGCTAAACCAAATTCACTGTGCTTTATAACTAGAGCTTCACCTTTCTGTAGAATTAGCCCCTTGTATTGCCGCATCGTTAAATTGAGGGCCATTAAGCCTAGCCACCATTATACCTGGGTTGTGAAGTCTGAATTGTATGTACGAGTATTGTGTTAACTTTGGGTGAAATAAGGAGGGCCCTTTGTAAATAACACTAAGATAATTAGAGTTTATGTATGCAACTTCAATGTGGATTTTGCAGATTAATTTGGATGAGGAAAGCTTTGAACTTGGTTTATTTGCATGTGCTCCAGTGGTTATGACAATGCTTTGTTGTCACCGGAACTGCCCATGCTCATGATTTGATTCTCCTTGAATTTGACAGAAGTCAAGAGTCACCGTCTGCATCCAATGATTCCTTGTCTTCACGCCCCATTGAAGAAGAGCAAGGAGAAGACTCTGACATGGAAGCAGAAGCCGAACCGGCTAACTGGCAGGACCTGGTGGATAAAGACATCCTGAAACGGCTTAAACCCAAAGAGGTGAAGAGACAAGAAGTCATCAATGGTGAGGATGGATGCCGGATAAAGTGCAAAGTAGCTAACAATATTTCTCCCTCAGAGGCAGGGATCTCTGTTCCTAGTCATGGAGCTTGTAGGCTTTGAGCATTCTTGAAACTTTTTCAATCCCTTGTGGATGATTCAACGTGATGTTCATGTGCAAACAAGAAAACACAAATATGAAGGGAGGCACGAAGAGTAAATTGATTTGCTCAAGATATTAATA